TTGAAAATCAATCAAACTTACCATAGTAATAGACTAAAAAAGAAAAACTATATGATCATCTCAATAGATGCAGGCTGAGGAGAGTGGAAGAGACTAAATCATGGAGTACCTTACGAGTCTTAACAAGCTTATACTGTATTCTAAAGACTACAGATTCCCCACCAAGGGATATATTAAGAGGGAGATGTTAAAAAGACTAACTCAATCTAGTTAGCCTATCAATAACCGACATTTGTAAATGGTAGAGAAAATGTTTACAGGATGCTGTGCCAGAGGGCAGCAAACAGAAACTGGGCATCTGAGATGGGGAAAATGAAGAGAGACTTCTAAAAAGAGGACTGAAGAGGAGCCGAAAACAAACAGCAGACGTTTCCTAATCCTCATGACTATCTCTCGCCACCGCCACTGCACCAATGTCTGGGAAATGCATATTAGTGATCATACTTTGCATGGGCAAGAAAGAACAGTCCAAGTTCCAAGGTGACCTCCCTCATTCAAAATAAGAATTACAACCAACAATCAAGTCAGTGTGCTCTTAGGCCTTTAAGACTTCATTTCCTTTTAATACTTTCCAAACTATTTGATGTTCATGAAACCATCTAGTGTAATAAGAAGAAATCAATAAACCTGAAATCTATTTTCAGATTGTAGATAAAATTTTTATAATGTATTACTATCTATCTGGCTATAAATATATGCCACAAATTTCATCACTTCAACTGCTTAATGTGTGAATATATCAGATATTAACTTTCTCATACCGAAGAATAACAGCTAACATTTATTAAATACCTTTTTTTGTGCCAGGAACTGGCCTAAGTACTTTGACAATATTGTCTCACTTAATTCTTATAACAACCCCATAAGATGGGTTCTACTACTATTCCCACTTTACAGATCATGAAATAAGACACAGAGAGGTTCAGTAATTTGCACAAGGCCACACAGCTAATAAATGACAGAGACAGGCTTCAAAACCGGAAATCTGCTAACATGCCAAACTCCTAACAACAATGCTATAAAATGAAACAAGTGACAGATGTTCCAAAGCTTTATCAATTCTCAAAAGACTACTGGATGACTTTAAACAACCTTGAATAAGACATGAAAGAACTGCTCTACTTCCCTGGGATTTAACGTTTCATACAATAAATAAATTATATGCTATAAGTGATCCTCCTGTCTTAGCCTCCCAATGTGCTGGGATTACAAGCATGAGTCACCATGTCCTGCCAGGGAGATTCATTTAGAAGAAAATTTGGGAAGATAGGAGCCCTGAAATGTGTCTAGTAAATAGTTAGCAGAGGGCACTATGGTATCTAATATGATACAACTATCAAAATATGGCAGTATCACTCTTTTATATTCAATTATGTCTCAAACACAATACAAATAAACTAAAAAGCTATATTTCTGGATAAAAGATTTTAAATTCTTCAATAATCAAAGTGACTTTAGACTGTACTCCAGAGTTCATTAACTATAGATTCTAAGAAACAAAAAATAGCAGAAAGAAAAATCGAAGATATTTCAAGAATTCAGTAATAAATCAGAATATTAGGAGGACAAATCAAACTAAGTCTTAACTCAAAGTTCAAAAGCTTAGATGACTTTTCATATGCTTTACTTATTATTTACTACTTATGCTACATGCTATAAGCAAAATAATCTTAGATATGTTTCTTGATTCTGCCATGTCACCTTCCTTGAACTTGTTTATCTGGGCACATAAATATATTATTGTTCTTTACTATACATATTCTTTTTAAAATCTCTAGAACCACTACTGGACATAGTAATTACTCACTCAGTAACAGGAAAAACGCAAATTACTGTGCAATATTAACATTTATTTTCACATTCAACCTTATATTCTACCAATGCAGAAGCTATGAAGGTGTAAGTATACATACCATTTACACTCTATTCTATCTTACTGCTCTGCAGTTCTTTATACACAAGCTTACTTTGGCTCTCTTCAATTTACATACAAATATTAAAAATCTCCTTTTGCCCATTTTCTGGATATACTCAATGGTAACAGAGCCATTATAACCATTTTTATAGGGTAACTTTCCTGAGCAAGAATGATACCATAATCCTAATAAAGGTCAAATGCAACAGTGCCTCTCCAGGGAAGTTCTTCCACGCAGCAATGAGTCATTTTTCTTTAGGAATGAAAGTTTCACTCTGTTGAGTGAATGTCTGCTCATATGCAGATATCTCTCACTACAAGTCAGTAAACTATGCCATAATCTTCTCTTTCCTCATTTTGAAATCTACAAACCCATACATATATATGATTACAGTGCCTGATATGGAGCTCTGCTGATAGAAAAGCACTCACATGTTTATGATTTATCACACAACTGTACTGGGAAGAAAAACCTTCTTTATTAGTGAACTTCACCATGTTCATAGTAATCTCCTAGTTTCTTGTTTAACATATACAATGAATTTACACATGTATAAAATAACATAAATTAAAAGTTATCTATGACAGCATCACTTGCAATAATAGCACAATACTGGAAAATGTTCAAATACCCTTCAGTAGGGAAGTATTTAAGTAAGTTGTGGTACATTCATACAGTGGAATACTATGCAGCAATTTAAAAAATGAAGAGGGTTTTTTTTTAACTGCAACAATATCTAAGATATTTTTAGGCAAAAAAAAAAATCAAGGTGCAAGATAGCAACTCCAGTATACTACCACTTGTATAAAACAAGGGTAACATTTTATTTATATATAATATACTATGTGTATACCACATATGTACATTTTTGTACATGTAATTTACATACACACACACACACACACACACATATCTCTGAAACCATACTCAATTGTTACTTGGCTCCAGGGAAATGAAATGGATATCAAGGCCACAGAGACAAAAGGAAGACTATTTTACTATATACTCTTCTTTTTTAAAAGTATATACCAGTCCAACTATTATCTATCTAAAAACTAGTTAAATTTTAAAAGAATATATAGGGATATAGGGTAATAATTATATGCAGAGGCTCTGTTGGATAAGAAAATCTGGGTTTAAGTCTCCATTCTTCCATTGACCAGTGTGCAAGTTAGGCAAGTTCTCCAAGCCCCAGTTTCCTCATCTGTAAAACGGAAGTAATGATAGTCACTGTGAGAACTAAAACCAATCAAGTACATAAAACAATTAGCACAGTACCTGGCAATTATTATTATTTAGTGTTATCTTTTAAATGGTACTGCAGACTTGGAAATCACCAAGTTATAGTCATTACCATTTCCTTTTTCTCTTTTATGTTATTCTGAATGAAAAAATTTTGCTAGTTCTTTTAAAATGTGTGGCACTCAATCATTTCTGTCCATTTTATAACCACTAGAGATTGGCCCAGATCCTGAAGAATCAGTTAGAGTATGGATTTTGAGAGCAATTAGGAACCATCGTACAATTGGTATAGGTTTTTGATTAAATCTAAACCTTTCAGTGGAGCCCTTATTGCCACTATATATAGGCATATCTACAGAATCTCTACTACACTAAATACCAAATGAAATGCCACCAATTTATACTTGTATCCCTATTTTAACATTTATAAGGTATTTTCAAATACTTTAGTTCAATTCCTAGAATAAGAATCTCAGAAATGGAAGATCCTTTAAAATACAATGTAATTTCTTCAACAATGATGAGGGGATCAGAGCATATATTTTTATCTCTCTTGTAGATGAATATTTTTAATTTAAGAGCAACCTGTTAAATATGAATTTAAATTATACTAAATAATGAAATAAATACATGAAATGAAAGCCAAAGAAGAGAAGTGACTTGCCAAAGATTCACATGCTTTACAAGAAAAAAAAAAAAAAAAGCTGCCTAGAATTCACATGTTCTCATTTTACTGCTCATTTCATTCACATTCTTACAAGGAAGTCATCAAGTATGCTATTTTCCCTCACCTAAAAGGCTCTTACTTATATAACCTAAAGCCCCGTTTACATCTAATAATCTGATTTTTAAAATGGGCAAAAGATTTGAATAGACACTTCTCAAAAGAAGACATACAAATGGCAAATGGGTACATAAAAAGGTGTTCAACATCACTGATCATCAGAGAAATGAAAATCAAACGACAATGAGACATCATCTCACCCCGGTTTAAAAGGCTTTTAAAAGACAGGAAATAACAAATGCTAGAGGAGATGTGGAGAAAAGGGAACCCTCGTACACTGTTGTTGGGATGTAAATTAGTACAACCAGTTTTTGGAGGTTCCTCAAAAAACTGAAAATAGAGCTACCATGTGATCCAGCAATTCCACTGTGGGGTATATACACAAAAGAAAGGAAATCAGTATATGGAAGAAATATTTGCAATCCCATGTTTGCCGCAGTACTATTCACAATAGACAAGATTTGAGGGCAACCTAAGTGTCCATCAATAGATGAATGGATAAAGAAAATGTGGTACATATACACAATGGAGTACTATTCAGCCATAAAAAAGGAATGAGATCCAGTCATCTGCAACAACATGGATGGAACTGGAGGTCATTATGTTAAATGAAATGAGCCAGGCACAGAAAGAAAAACATCAAATGTTCTCACTATTCGTGGGATCTAAAAATCAAAACAATTAAATTGATTTTTAGATGGCTTTAGAAAGGATGGTTACTAGAGGCTGGGAGGAGAATGGAGTAGGGAGAAGGGGGAGGGGGATCGGTAATGGGTATGAAGAAATAGAACGAATGAATAAGACCTAGTATTTGATAGCACAACAGGGTGACTATAGTCAAAATAATTTAATTGTACATTTTTAAATAACTTAAGGAGTATAACTGGATTATTTGTAACACAAAGGATAACTGCTTAAGGGCACAGATACCCCATTTTCCATGATGTGATTATTATGTATTGCATGCCTGTATCAAAGTATCTCATGTATCCTATAAATATATATACCTACCATGTACCCACAGAAACTAAAAATTGTAAATTATAAAAAAAGAAAACCTTGTTCACAGAACCTATCTTGGATCTGGTAGCCATAAGTCTCTCCCCTCTGAATTCCAGCTACTACCATAGCAAACAACTTAGCACTTCATCATGGGTTATCTGCAGTCTTCGTGTTGGTATTATCTTCCCAGCTGTAGGCAATCTGGAAGCAAGTTGGTCTGGAAAAAAAAAAAAAAAAAAAGACATTATAATCACCACCATCTACCCTATGTCCTCCTCAGCCTATTATCCCTGACATTTCCCTCCATTTGGAAGCTCAGACTTCTCAGCCAAGCAAAGGTATCTGCTGCTTCATTCATTCCCTCCCTCTAAATTCCTTCTGGGATGCCTTTTCCTTCCTCCCCACCAACTCACATTCCTCACCTTGAGCCAAATCTTAACCCAATCCCCCTCACACAGAAAGCCTTAACTCAGCCCATTTTCTTAGAAACCTTTCTGCAACCAATATACACAGTGTTGTACAATTTTCCTATTCACACCTCATAATATTTCTGCATATATGCTTGGAAATGTGTATTTCTGCATATGAGATAATTCATCAGCCTGGGCAACATAGTGAGACCCCCATATATACAAAAAAAAAAAAAATAGCCAGGCATGTTGGTGCATGCCTGTGGTCCTAGTTACTCAGGAGGCTGAAGCAGGAGGATCACTTGAGTCTGGAAGGCCGAGGCTACTGTAAGCCATGATCCCACCACTGCACTCCAGCCTGGGTAAGAGAGTCACCAGGGAATTTTTCCAGCATGATGACTTTCGGTTTCACAATACCAAATCAAAGAACCTGCACTGAGCTAAGACTCATCCCAGAAAAGACTTAGGAAAAGAGACACCAAACACTTAAAGAGGGAGTCTTCTAAGTGTTTGGAATAAAGTCTGTCCTGAAAGAGAACTCTCTGTCCATGAAGGATGGGTCCATTTCAAAGAGAAGATATGTAACTTCCCCTATTTGATTAATTTATTGGCATGATAACTTGCATCAGTTTAAAGGCATTTCATCCACAATGAGGAAAAGCTAAATGCACTAAATCTTCTTTCAAGGAACCTGTATTTTTTGAACTCCTAGCAGTCTGCACTTAATGCTTTATTTTAAAATCAGATTTAATCATTTCATATAACCAGTACTTCTTCAGGAAGATAGATTTCATTTTACCTCTACATCTATTACCCCAGGTCAGAATTGCAATGAATTGTAATGCCATTTGAAACCACTAACACAGCACTCAACAATCCAATTAGTAAGTGAGTCTGAAAACACAATTTTCCAAAATGATTACAGTGCTCCCACTTCCTATTCTTAAATATCTAAGACACTAATTGAATGTCCATACTATTTTATTTATAGGTCTTTCTCAAATACTCTCACAATAAAACCACCAATTTTAATTCCTACTTCCATAAAAGCTCTTTGTTGGCTCTATTTTGAGGACTTAACAGAGCTATATTTTTTTAAAAATCAATTTGATAAACAAAAAAAAAATTTCTTATGATACTCAGAGATCTCTACAGCATACAGCTTGATATTTTTTAACAACGGGAACTAAGAACAAAACTAAAAAGTGTAATTCTCAATTATACAAAACAAATAGATGTTGTATTAGTCTGTTTTCATGTGGCTATAAAGAACTGCCCAAGTCTGGGTAATTTATAAAGGAAAGGGATTTAATTGACTCACAGTTCAGCATGGCTTGGGAGGCCTCAGGAAACTTACAATCATGGCAGAAGGCGAAGGGAAAGCAGGCACTTTCTTCACAAGGTGGCAGGAAGAGGGGAAGAGCCGATTATAAAACCATCAGATCTCATGAGAATTCACTCAGTATCACAAGAACTGCATCAGGGAAACCGTCACCATGATTCAATTACCTCCACCTGGTCTCTCCCTTGACATGTGGGGATTATGGGGATTATGGAAATTACAATTCAAGATGAGATTTGGGTGGGGACACAAAGCCTAATCATATCAAATATGTATGTGTATAAGTATATATGTACATGGTATATATCCTCTTATCTTTTAAAATGTTTATGTCAGACAGTTTTTATCCACATCACAGCCTTCTGGGCTACAGTATGTTCAGAAACATAAAACCAATTATATAAGTCACCAAAGCAAACCCTACAGTGGAGAAGTGGCCACAACGTAGCATCAGTAGTGGAGAAGCAACCACAGAATCTAGAAATTACAAATAGTATATGAGGACATCTGGCACAGCATGAAATTTCTTTCACAGAAGATCTGATGGATGCTGACATGGACACTGTTTAAAGTTTTCCAATGACAGGGAACCCACTCCTTAATTTCCTCAAGAAGCTCATTTCATTGGACACCACCAGAATGTTTTTCCTCAAAATGAGCCAAAATTATCTCCTTATAAAACTTCTTACAGATCATACATAATTACGTCATTCTTACAGATATGCCTAGTCCTTCTTTAACAGGTTTCTGCCTTTCAGGTATGAAGAAAATGATCATGTGTCCCCTTGGTCATACGCCCTAGAGGTTGCCTTTTCTACAATCCCAACACCCTCACCTGTCCTTCACATCATTTAAAAGTCTTCACTATCCCAGTCCCCTCACCTTCTGGGTGAAATCCAATTTGCCAATATTTCCACTAAAAAATGGCATCTAGTACTAAAAGCAAAATTCCACAAATTATTGACATTACTCATGAGAAAGCAGATATTTAGGAAAGGATCAAACTCAAGAACCCTCTGCTTCATAGGCAGCAAGTCTTGACATGTCCTATGGAAATGACTAGATGAACGGAAAGTATAAATCAATACTATCCAAAGACAATGATAAGAAAGATGGGGGGAAGGTAGTAAAAAATAGTATCATCAAGCCATTCATTCTGAAAGAAGTTAACCCACTATATGCTCTGAAAGAAGTTAACCCACTATATGCTAGTCCATAGCCTAAATTATCTGAGATAATGATAATGTGGGTGTAATATGACCAAAACTTTCTAAATTTACAAAAAGCATAGTTATATAGAGAATAATCATATCCTCTGAAATAAGTTACTTCTAATCTCATCTAAAGAATCAAATCAAATAAAAAAACACTAGATGTAATTAAGACTGTTGAGTTTCTCTGGAGATTATAGCAATTAGACATTTTAAGCATTCTAGGAATGAAACATTTGAGACAATTAAGGAAATCCTATTGAAGAAAAATTAGTCTGTAAAGCAGAGATAATATGGGACTAAGGAATGGCTTATTAATAACATTCAATTCTGAGTATAATGAATACAGCTATTACAATTTCAATTCACTGGTGGCTGAGCTCAAAAAGCTAAAATGCTGCCACTCAATCTGCCTCAAGGATCCAGATCTAATCAGTACAGTCACTGCCTGTTACATTTATTGAATCGCAGAATGATTTTAGGCTGAAAAGAATTTAGATGAAAAAAAAAAGAGAGAGAAAACAAAGCTAGTAAATGGTAGGGCCTGAACACAAGACCAAAATCTGGGTCTTTGCTATACTTGAACAACTCTTCAAATATTTGCAAATAGCTATCATACCCTCCCTTCTCACCTCTCACCAATCTTCTTTCAATGCCGGTTCCTTCAATGATTCATAATGTAGGGAGGATTCCAGAACTAAGTCCTACATGAGTGATGTCTGGAACTTCATACATATTCCTTCATGTCTGAAGTGCCAGCTTGGGCTGTGTCTTGCGAGAATGAATACTGTAACTGGATACATTAAGGATGGCTGCTCAACAAGACCAGAACTCCTGAGCTGCAGGTCACTCCTCAACTCTCAGTTATTAATACCACAAATAAGGCAGGGCAAGAGAGGCCTGAGAGACACAGCCTTGGAGCAAGGCCAATCAGTAAGAGACTATGGGCGATGATCAGAGCAAGACTATGATAATGCCAACGTCAGAAGCACCAGAAGATAAACCTCTGGTTTAGGCATCTTCCCCCTTATACCTAGCCCTTCTCCAACAGCTCTCTCTCTAAGAGGTCTCAGCCATCCAGTAGGAAAAGTCTTTCCCGTTACTAAGTGCCGGGGCAAACAGGAGATAGACCCTTTCAGACAAAGCATACAGCCACAGAGGGAGCTCTCCATGAAGTGAAACGTTATAACCCTAAAGTAAACAGGCAGTTAATCTAGGCAGGATGCTATATGAAGACAATGAGGAAGGCAAAAAGCCCAAAATAGCAAATTCTTAGAGAAAATGCTACAGACAAAAGACAAAGAAGATGATTTTTTTTTTTTTTTTTTTTTTTTTTTTGAGATGAAGTCACCCAGGCTGGAGTGCAGTGGTGCGATCTCAGCTGACTGCAATCCCCACCTCCCAGGTTCAAGCGATTCTCCTGCCTCAGCCTCCCCAGTAGCTGGGATTACAGGCATGCACCACCAGGCTTAGCCAATTTTTGTATTTTTAGTAGAGACAAGGTTTCACCATGTTGGCCAGGCTGGTCTCAGACTCCTGACCTCAGGTGATCCACCCACCTTGGCCTCCCAAAGTGCTGGGATTACAGGCGTGAGCCACTGCGCCCAACCCTTTTTTTTTTTTTTTTTTTTGAGACGGAGTCTTACTCTGTCACCCAGGCTGGAGTGCAGTGGCGCAATCTCAGCTCACTGCAACCTCGCCTCCCAGGTTCAAGCAATTCTCCTGCCTCAGCCTCCCAAGAGGATGGGACTACACGCGCCCACTACCACGCCCAGCTAATTTTTGTATTTTTAGTAGAGATGCGGTTTCACCATGTTGGCCAGGCTGGTTTCGAACTCCTGACTTCAGGTGACCCACCCGCCTAGGCCTCCCAAGGTGCTGGAATTACAGGCGTGCCCAGCCAAAAATGATTTTTTTAAGCTAGCCTTAGAAGAAAAGCAAGTCCAAGACAGATGTTAATTAACTACAAATTGTGTTTCTGTCTTATCCAACAAAATGGACCTCAGGCCAGGCTTGGTGGCTCACACCTGTAATCCCAGCACTTTGGGAGGCTGAGACAGGCAGATTGCTTGAGCCCAGGAGTTCAAGACCAGCCTCAGCAACATGGCAAAACCCTGTCTCTACAAAAAATACAAAAATTAAAAATTAGCACCAGGCGTAGTGGCTCATACCAGTAATCCTAGCACTTTGGGAGGCCAACGCGGGCAGATCACTTGAGGTCAGGAGTTCGAGACCAGCCTGACCAACATGGTAG